GCAGCTAGTCTAACACAAGTTAAACCCACAACACCCTTCTCACAACAGTAGTCTAACACAAGTTAAACCCACAACACCCTTCTCACAGCAGTAGTCTAACACAGGTTAAACCCACAACACCCTTCTCACAGCAGCAGTCTAACACAGGGTGGGTTTAACTTGTGTTAGACTACTGCTGTGAGAAGGGTGTTATGGGTTTAACTTGTGCAGACATACCGCTGTGCCACTGGGGGGGGGGGCATTTGTTAACTTCTCAAATATTTAGTCATACGAGATTTGATTTCTGCTCAGACTTAGTGTTAATTTGTTTTTATAATTAATGAAGATTACTAAACAACCCGAGGAGCTGCTGGTAAAGACTTGCTTAGAAGGAAACACCTGTAATAACGCTTCTTTATTATTTTATGTTTAGACTACTGCTGTGAGGAGGGTGTTGTGGGTTTAACTTGTGTTAGACTACTGCTGTGAGAAGGGTGTTGTGGGTTTAACTTGTGTTAGACTACTGCTGTGAGAAGGGTGTTGGGGCTATCTGTGCTCTGCCCACCACGGGTATCGAAACCCAGTTTCTAGCGTTGTAAGTCCGATTGTGTAGCTTTGTGTTTAATTACAAACAAACAAACAATTTAACAGTATTAAATGGTACGGGTCAGTTCTACTCAAATACGAACTTCTAAAAATCATAAAAAATTTCATTACCTTTAGCCACTATCACAATTCTTTTATGAAATATTAACGTGTTATAAAGCTTAACTTGTTCTAACTTGTGGTTGTATGTTTAAAACACACGTTTCAAAAAACACGAGTAGGCACCGGGACGCCCGGAAAAAAAAAGTTGGCATTGTGCCAGCAAACTATCTCGAGCTTAAAATATCTTGACTTAGGTGTTGAAGTGTGTAATTAATGCTTACAAGGTACAGTTAAAACGTTTGTACCGTGATTATACTGACAATTTTTATCGCCACCTACTGTACAGTTAAAAGGTACACTTCGGTGCGTTGATAGTTAGGAAAGAATTACATTAACCCAAGAATTGCTGATGGAGTGTCCATCGGCTTTTTAAACACACACACTTTTACTAAAGTATTCATACGCCAAGATGCTTGTGGGACCATAATTTGATTGTTTACAAGATCCTTCTAATAACAAATCAGTCCCCCCCCCAAAAAAAAATAAATATCATCAATATCGCGTTACTTACCGCTAGGGTTTCCCGATCAATTTTAAATGTAAAATACGTGATTTGACTTAGTTTTTATTGTTATGAAGACTTTGAGATCGATTATAGTTTTATGTTCAAGTCTGTATTTGACATAAAATACGTTATTTCATGTTTAAATCACAAGGTTAGTCTTAGCTCTTTAAACGGGCTTATAGCAGTCTCAATACGCAATATGCTACGTCACAGTTCGGTTTTTTGAAAATAATCTTTAAACATCGAAGATTCAATCTGTTCCGTACGATATTCACGTGACACGTTTACAGTGACGAAATTTTCACGTGTTTCAATCTATTCAGTACGATATTCACGTGACACGTTTATAGTGACGAAATTTTCACGTGTTTCAATCTGTTCCGTACGATATTCACGTGACACGTTTACAGTGACGAAATGTTCACGTGTTTCAATCCGTTCCGTACGATATTCACGTGACACGTTTATAGTGACGAAATGTTCACGTGTTTCAATCCGTTCCGTACGATATTCACGTGACACGTTTATAGTGACGAAATTTTCACGTGTTTCAATCTGTTCCGTACGATATTCACGTGACACGTTTACAGTGACGAAATTTTCACGTGTTTCAATCCGTTCCGTACGATACTCACGTGACACGTTTATAGTGACGAAATTTCCAAGTGTTTCTCTAAATCACTTTGGGTACGACTGGCTGGTGTTCAGTTTTGTTGACACGTGTGAGACAGTCATTTGTAGCATTAATTAAGTTTTGTGGTAATTAGGTAAATTCAGACAATACAATATCTTGGGCAGTTTTTACATAATACATTTCTAAAGAATAGGTATATATATATATAGTGTATGATCTTATGGCTGGTATTTTGATTTAAATAAACAAACATTTGAAACAAGAGAACAGATGTGCAGTGAAAGAACTCCAAAAACTGATTTCTGTTTTATGTTTAATTCAAACTAACCGCTGTTTTTTTTAATTGAATACATTTAGGCTTAATAAAACCTGTAGAATAAACCGGTTTGCATCTGTCAATCTGTAAAAAACATTTTCAAATTTTCTGACCTCTGATCACAATGAAACTTTCGGGTGTTCTTGGGACTAATATCCTTTTTGTTATCATTTTTACGAGTTTGACAGTCATATCAATGTTTCTCGTGGATACTGACGCACACGCACGCTGTCCCGCCGTCGACATGAAGCCAACGAAACGCACCTGGCTATAGTACTTCTGATAGTTATAAAAAAAATACAGTAAATGTGTGTTTGATTAAAGATGGCGGATATTTTTATATTCTGACTGAATATGGATAATCGTTTTAGTTAACAAAAATATATATTACTCTTTGTTTATAAGCAAATGGTGGAAATAGTGTAGATTTGATTGTTTGTAATTAAGCACAAAGCTACACAATGGGCTATCTGTTCTCTGCCCACCACGGGTACCAAAACCCGGATTCTAGCGTTGTAAGTCCGCAGACATACCGCTGTGTCACTGGGGGGCAAGAGTGTAGAAATTTATTAGTAACTATAAACACCGTAACAGTATATATATATATCAAACATTTCACCTGGTGGCAAAAACAGCGTCCATCAACATAGGCAATGTTTTCACTAACTTTAAATTAATCTTAAAACTCCTGTTATTACCTCGGAAACTAAAATCAGATCTACGAACCAGAGAAGTATAACTTATCAGTTTCTATAACGTTAATTGTACCCGGTCTTTCAGTTGTTTGTGTATTAATTTCAGTATTTTCTGTAATGCTATTAAAAATCAGATAATATCTTTCTCCTGGACTGGATAATCTCTATTAAGGACTGGATAATCTCTATTAAGGATTGGATAATCTCTATTAAGGACTGGATAATCTCTATTAAGGACTGAATAATCTCTATTAAGGATTGGATAATCTCTATTAAGAACTGGATAATCTCTATTAAGGACTGGATAATCTCTATTAAGGATTGGATAATCCCTTTACATGTGAATATTAAATGAAAAACATATAGTTTAAAAAGTAGAAAGAACGTTATAATTAAAACATGTGTAAACTCTACTGATATTCTAAGACAACAAACGGTTTCGGTTCTTATAGTAAAACCCTCGAGTCTTTTTTTACAGCTGGACAAACTTTACGAACTGGGAGATATTTCACTTCAGTATCAGCCAGAACGAATTATACGAAGAACATGGGGTTGTGGACAATCTACTGCACGAGATGGCCACCTTGCCTATAGTTCATGTAGGTAAGTATCTCCTGTACGTGACATGACCCTATAACTATAATTTTACGATTCTATCTCTTCTTTCATCAACAATGAGAAGAACGATAATTTTACTTTTTTGACTGGTTATAGTTTCATGTTTTAGTGTGACGTAAGAATTGTCTAGATACCTAAGACTAACGATATTCCAAAACAACCAGGTTTGGCCAAAAGTGTGGTTATCTATACAAAGTCATGGAAGTGTTACTGGGTGTAATACAATATGTATGTGAGTGTGAGGGCTGGAGTCACTGCCGTGTTTCTAGACGTAATACAATATGTATGTGGGTGTGAGGGCTAGAGTAACTGCCGTGTTTCTAGGTGTGATACAATATGTATGTGGGTGTGAGGGCTGGAGTCACTGCCGTGTTTCTAGATATAATACAATATGTATGTGGGTGTGAGGGCTGGAGTCACTGTGTTTCTAGGTGTGATACAATATCTATGTGGGTGTGAATATTGAGTTTAGAATGTTTCACTCGAAAATATATACATTCAGCATTTGGTGGAACAAATCAAAACCAGTCAAAAATATATTTAAATTATTATAAAATAATCAAACTTGAAGTAGTAACTAACGAGTTACTTCCAATTCTTGATAATAAACACAAAAACATTCTACAAGAACCCATTCTCTCCTCCCACATGTCAATGTTACATTCTACAAGAGCCCACTACCTCATACCATCATGTTAGTTTGTTTTTAATAATGCACAAAGCTACACAAGGGTCATTTGTGCTCTGCCCACCACGGGTATCGAAACCCGGATTCTAGTGTTGTAAGTCCGCAGACATACCGCTGTGTCACTGGGGGGGGGGGGGCATCATGTTAGTGTTACATCTTACAAGAACCCACTACTTCATCCCATCATTTTAGGGTTACATCTTACAAGAACCCACT